CTGCTACTGCTTCTACTACTACCACTACTACTACTACTGCTACTGCTACTGCTACTGCTACTGCTACTGCTACTGCTACTGCTACTGCCACTACTCTGCTAAATGTGCGACTACAACTATTCTTCTTACTGTTAGTAGGGCTAGTTGCGGTGACAACTCAGTCCTGCCAAAACGACCCAAGCTTCGACCCTGTAGACCTGGTTTTGGGTTTCGGGTTTAGTGCTAAGGTGGGCCTCTGGCTTCACGCCGTGAAATCCGCCGGGCACTGGCACAGCATGGCTTTCACTCTCACCTGAGCGCGGGACGGGGAATGGCCGTGCAGCATGTTGCAAAGGCGGGTTGCGGTTTTATGATGAAGGATATGAAGTCACAAACTTTCTGCGATTCATAGCTGGCACACACAACCCTGAGCAGCTGAACTCTGAAATTTGGGATGTGCGCACTTTAAAGTTCGAATCCTCGGCTACGATGCTGAACGGATCGAATTTGGGAACTGCTCGATATAGCTTTGACCGTTAAAGCTTCAAGCTATGTACCATTGTGATTGAATAAGGGTCCAGGATGGTCTAGGGGTTTAGCGCTTAGGATATGGGGAAGACCCTTCCACCACTTCATGGGCCCAGAGGCCCATATAGTTTGAAGTAGCCACTGCTCACACGCGCTGACTGTAAGATAACCATATAAGTGATACCAGGGGTAACCATGCACACGGGCTACCGGGCTACCTTCTTTTCCTGGCAGAGCACGGTGTCACGGTACCATGCACAAACGATGCAACTTACACGTGCACAAATTACACCCCCTCGCCGAGGCGTCAGCTGAGGTGCGAACATGCACAGAGCGTCGTTGCGCGGCCTGCCATAAAGGCGGCTGGATTGTGACTTGGCTCGACAGCTTAGCGCAACGATAAAGCGAGAGATACAGTTGCAGGTGAATAATTTTGGGTTCGCGGTTGTTTCAAGGTCGCGCAAAAATGCAATTATAAAAGTAGCGATCCAGCAAGCCGGGATTGGGATTGTGGCGTGGATACGAGCTACTCAAAAGTGGTTCTCGCAGGACGGTCACGCCATCGACAACGCGAGAAATTCGGAGTTGCTGCTTTGCAGGGAAAGCGGTTCCAGAGTACTTCCTTTTTCTGGGCTTAAACGAATACTCGGCTACCTCTACAAAGCCTGTAGCGTGTCGGAAAACGATGCTTTGAGCTGCGCTCACCTGTAATATCGGCCACTTGACCGGAATAGGGATGTGAGCCCTTCCCATAGCTGTAGGCTTCGCGAATTGCGTCCACCTTGGCCTGTGCAGCACGGGCGAGATCACCGTTTCGCTGTTTCTCTTCGTGTGCGCGAAATGCATGCTGCAACTGCTGGTTGAACTTCTCAGCTGATGTGTAACTTCTCGGACTTCTCGGCTGATGTGTAACCGAGGTTGGGGTCTAAGTACAACGTCTCAGTGAACGTGAGACTGCGATCGACGATCTCATGCTGCAAGAAGATCTCGACGAAGTCGGAGACACTGCACGCCACTCCCAGCTACATCACGACGAAAGGATCGTCTTTCACAGTGCTGAGCAGGCCTGCCCTAAGGGCGGCTGGATTGCAGTCACGGATACAAAGCAACCTTGCAATGGACGTGCATTCCTCTCCGGTCGGCTCCATCGGCCTGATCCATGGGTACCGGGCACAGGTGCCAAGCGATCGTAGGTCCTTTGCGCGGCCAACATTCGGCAAAGTGCAATTCACCGGAACGTCTTCAATGCGGAGTCCTGTAGGAGTCCAAGGTCGGTTCCACGTCGAGAGCCCAAATGGGTCGCGAGTTGATGGCGCAGCTTTCTCTGCAGTGAAGTCCAAGGTCGGTTCCCTGTCGAGCCTTGCTCCAACACTGACGCCGCTAGTGAATGCTCCATTCCACGTGCCAGCTGACAAGCCCACCCTGGCACCTCAGACCATCAAGCCGCCGAGTGACTTACAGCACATTGTTGCCGCAGCCCTGTCTCTGCTACCTGATGAGCTCCGCGGCCCACACTTGTATCCGGCGGACAATTTGGTTTGGTTTCATTGGTCAAGCCGGTTCTGGTGAAACTCGGAGACACTATCTGTCATTCGCAAAATATCACCAAGCCACTTCCTGCGCTGCCTCTCACACGTGCCCAGAGGCGGGGCCGCGCTACCTCTGCACCTTCAGAATTTGGCTTTAGTGTACACACCTTCACTGCGGAACCAAGCCAATCTGTTGGAGATGTGAGCAGCTGACGGTTGCTAGGGAGGGGGAGAGGAACCTTCTTTCCACTGGAATCGACCCTGCGGTCCTTTCCTTCCTTGATGCGCACGGCGAGGTCTTTGACTTGCTGGCTGCACGTGCAACTTGTTGCTAGGTCTGCTGGTGATGCGCTGGGCCTGCGCGCTGCCACCACTGCTACCACCACAGCAACGAGGACAGGACCTCCCAGGCTGCTAGGCTTCCAGACGGGCATTGATAATACTCCTGTCTTTGGCGCTCACTGCACCTGCCTTCACGTGGATGTCTACTGCCATGGCACCTAGTGTCCACATGCCATTGGGACATCTGTGTCTGTTTGAAAAGTGTGGTACTAAGTCGGTTCCCTTCTCACTCCTTGTTCAAGGGCATCCGCCAGTCCAGCTCATCACGTCGAAGCAGCGGGGCACTCAGACGTCCCGCAAATAGTCCTCACGGAGCAGGCCTAGGCTCAGCAAGGGGTTCTTCTACCCGTTGATGCCTGCAGCCTGGCACAGGGCACCTGGAACACATTTGTCAAGGTGCCCACTTCATCCTCAACAACTAGAATAGCACGCAAGCACAGCGTGACACGGCGCTTTGCACTGGCGCCAGCTCGAGTGCGAGACCAGCGCCTGCCGCACCCATGCCAAGCCAGGATAATGAACCTCAGGACGCTGATGATGATGCACAGGAGGGAACGAGTCTGGCGCAGCAGTCATTTTTGATAGGAATCCTGAAGTAGGTGCAGGTGGGAGGCTTGCTGCTGGGGCGACTGGAAGGCGGCACGTTCAGGTCACGAGCCGAAGGGCACAATCAATGTACTGGGCCCCCTCGTGGCAGAATGACGAGTCAGCACAAGTATGAAAGGCTTTGGCAAGGGAGTCAACCAACTCATTGGCCGGGTTACCGGCATGTGAAGCTACATGTTGCTTATAAGTTATAAGGGCTCTTTCGGGCCACGTGCAGGAAAGCAGCGACGACGGTAAGCGCCTCAGCCAGCACAATTGCGGCACCAAGAGAGGTCTTGCCTTCCGCTGCTCGAGCGGCAGCGGTGGACTCGAAAAGATCGCCGCCGGAGTTGAAGTCGCTTTATGGTTCAACATTGCCGATGCAGTGCTGCCGTGGAACCAGGCCAACATCGCCTCTACCTTCTCCCTTGTTATGGCCCTTGTCAGCACTCCTGGCCTCCAACTCATGTTCTTCTCAGGACATGCCCGGCCATCCACTGCCACTGTGAGGACTGCGCCTTGCCTCCCGGCACGGCGCGGGTTCTCATGCCGATTACGAAGTCTCTGAAGTTGCCGAACGTAAGAGTCCGAATAGCTACTCCTGTTTTGGGCGACAAAGGACAGATCCGAAAACCCTCTGAGAAGGAGGCGGTGTACTCGGGTGATGAGCTCGTACACAATAAAGTATCCATCAAAGTGATCGTGGGACATGACCTATGATCGCAGGTATAGTAGTACAGGGTAAGAGCTCCAACCAAAATATAAAGAAGTGGATCCCTAAGGGGAGTACTTAGGCGAGGCTTGCGAACCCTCTTGTGATTCCGTCGCCTTATTGGTTCCCTGTTCCAACCTATAGCTTCAGAGCTTGTTTGCGGAGTAAACCTCTGAAATCGCACCTGGCAGTCCGAAAAAGAAGCGAACGGGAATGCATCCCAACAAAAAAGATACAGCGGCTTTCCCTCGCCGGCCCAAGCCCTCTGCTCTGCGGAACAACAGTTCAAAAGGCGAGCAGTGAGGCGAGCCAGGCGGTGTAGCCGACTTACCGTTGAAAATCCGTCTCCCGTTGCGAGCGAGCTGGGCCCCCGGAAAGGTTGTCATCGGAGAGCCTTCTTTAGAAAATTCAAAGGCAGCTCGAGCTCGCAACCAGGGCGGTGTAGCCATGAAAGAGTGGGGCATCGGAAACAAGAAAAGTGTATATGTGGACCATCACAGGTCTTCCTCATCTTCAACTGCCCCCTTTGCGGGCTTTCCACCCTTGTGGCACCTTTGGCACCAGGAATGGTGGCAGGGGGAGGCATGCTGGGAATTCCCGCAGATGAGGCGGCTGCCTGCGGTTTACCCCCAAAGGTGGCGACATTATAATCGCCGATCTTCTGGTCCGGCTGTGCCATTTTATCGCACAGCTCGTCCCAAGAAAAAGAAATCTCATCTACAGGCATGACATACATGGGGATCGGGAACGGGTTGGAGTCACTGCTATAAACAAGCGGTGTACTCCAGCGCCGGGAGCTTTTGCCCAGTTGCACGCCTTTTCCCGTGCCTTTGGCCTCCCGGGAGGCTTGTTCAAAAAGGGCCTTCTCAGCTTTGTCCATCTCCATCTGGATCCCGTAGGCCACTTCAGACCAGTAGTGCTCCCACATAGTCTCTTCCAAGGCCGGAGGAGGCGGTTTACTTTGGATGATGACATGCACATCCTTTGTAACCTCGACCCGGCCCTGAAAAACCCCGTCCTTCTCGAAGTAGATCATGCGAGCGGCCGCTCTGATCTCTTGGTCTCGCTGGGCTCCATGATGGTGAGTGTCCGCCACAGGATTGTCATCTGTGCGGTGTACTCGGGTCAGTCTGCACAAGGTAGTAAAGCTCTGCGCTGTCCGTGGCGTTGTAGCTGCGCTGCTGGAGAAAGTGGCGCACATATGTGACTTGGCCGAGCATCCAGTTGACCATGAAAAGCCGCTCTCCAGGGGGCATGCTCTGGTCCCAACCGCTCAAAATAGCCATGAGACCACATTCGCACTTCTGCTGCGCGCGGTTGTCAGAAGCCAGCCAGCGCAAATTCTCCTGGTTGGTGGCGATGCGGTCGTCGAGCGTTTTAACCACATTCTCCACCTGGGTGATATAGTGGAAAAGCTCCAGGCGGATTACTCCGTGGTGGTAGGCCCGAATGGTCTTGAGCACGTCGCTGCGCGTGTTAACCGTTCCGGAGAGCCACGCCTGGACCGCGTTGGAGTCGTTGATGTCCACTCCCATCGATCTGTGCTGCTGTCAAGGAATACGTTGTTGGCTCGTCCACTGGAAATGGCTGGAATAACGTCGCGCCCTGTCCGGCTTCCGGCGGTGTAGCCTGTGGGGTGGCAAACGGATCCGGTGGGAGCTCTGCGCCTTCCATGGTGGCGTCCGACTCCGGCACGAGCGGTGTACCCAGCATCGACCCAGAGGCCGAAGGGGCCTTCCGCTTATCATGTCGCTGCTGAAACCACATGCGCTGATTAACCGCGTACACGGGCTGGTTGGTGATGTTTTGCTGCACCCCAAGCTGCTGGTGCGCCGCCGTGAGCTCCTGGCGCAGAGCGGCATCCTGCGGTGTACCCTCGGATGAGCCGCGCCCTGCCATTGCCGATCGAGGCAGGCCTTCCTGTGAAACCTGAGGCGGTATACTCCCTTGAGGAGCCGCCAGCAAAACACTCGCAGCGATGTAACCCTGCAAGTACACTCCGAAAATAAACCTGCAAGTGAACATGTAAACCATCCTCACCAACATGCACATGCGCCGCTGACAGCCGATACGCCTAACCCTCGGTTTAGGGTTTAGGGTTCAGGGTTTACCCTGCAAGAGCTACTCAAACCCTGCAGGCTTTGAGGTGTACCACGAAGTCCCGACGGCAGTGTTTAGAGTTTGGGGTTCAGGGTACGCCAGGCTCGAGGCTTTAGGGTTTGGAGTTCGTGGCTTTGGGTTTTGGGTTTAGGCTTTAGAAGTTTAGAGTTGAGGGTTTAGGGGGTTGACATAGTTTGCAACCCAACCTTCACCCCACATCAACAAATCCTAATCCCCCAAACCCAAGTTCAAAGAGTCATTCAAAACAACTCCCTGAACCAACTAAGCCCCCGAACCCTAAACCCTAAACCCTAAACCCCAAAACCCTAAACCCCAAAACCCTAAACCCCAAACCCTAAACCCTAAGCCTGAAGCCCGGAGCCCTGAAGCGTAAATCCTGAAAACCCCTGGTCGGAAGCGCAGCGCTTTTAAGAAACATAGAGGTCTTAAGAGCAAGAACGGGGTTCCTTATAAGAAGGGTTTCTACGAGGGTTCTTTAGTAAATAAGGGTTTTAGGGTCTGAGCATAAGGGCATTATGAATAAGAACTTGGTTTTGGAGTATATTAAACTATAGATCTAAGAAGAAACCCTGAGGAGTAATATTGGTAGTTCCTCAGGCTTCTTTGTTAGTATTGCTGGGGAAATTCCTCGTATGATCCCTTGTCTGTAGCGTAGCGCCTACGCCCTAAATCCTAAACCCAAAAAACTCTCGGCTAGCATTGAGCCCCTCAAAAGATAGAGCAGAGCTGCTTGGCCCGAAACTCGGGGCAGCAGGCGTGCGCGCTTTCGTGCCGTCATCATAGCGCTCGCCACGAATAAAATTTTCTGCCATGGAAGCTGGAAGGGCCGGACTCATTGAATGAGCCGCGAAAAGGAAGCAAAAAAGACAGCCAAAGGGTACCACCAACAGTGCAGGCAGGAGCCTCTTGAAGGGTTGCGGTGCGTTCGGGTAGCTTTAGTCTACGCTGTAGTTGCAGTGAGAGGATGTGTCTAACAGCCCAGCGGTTGATGGACTCTACACCCTAAATTCTGAACCTGGAATCTCGAGAATACCGCCGGTTTCGACCTGATCCAAGGCGACTCGGTACCTCGTCGGCTTTGATGCGGAGACATACTGCGAAAAGAATATCTTCTTGTTATGAATGGCACTCAGTATTCGTCGTACTCCTACCACTACTACTAGCACTAGTCGTGGTCGTAGTGCTGCAGCACCTACTACTCGACCACCACCACCACCACCACCACGACTACTACTAGTACTACCACCACTACTATTACTACTACTACTACTACTACTACTACTACTACTACTACTGCTACTGCTACTGCTACTACTGCCAGTAGTAGTAGTAGTAGTAGTAGTAGTAGCAGCAGTAGCAGCAAAGTAGGAAATAGCAAGCAATAGTCAAGCTGGTTTCGCGAACGAGGACAGGGCTTCACATGGCCTTCGAGTTCATGGTCTTGCGCTGCCCTAAACCCTACCTGCCCTAACCTCTAAACTCCTAGACCCTAAACCCTCAACCCCTAAACCCAAAACCCCTAAACCCCAGGCCCTACCCGATTGTGGGGCTTACTGCAGGGACTGAACTCGGAACTTTCCATCTGGCCAGCCAGGCGAACACTGAAACCAAGAGTGAGCAACCAGGACGGGAATCTCGCATACGTCGTTCAATCGTTCTATTGGGATCCTGGGCACTTGCACCTCCGCTACCCGAGCTGCTCTGCTCCACCCTTCGCTGATCATTCTGACGCTGCCTCGTAAGTTCATGTCGCATACTTACAAGCTCTGGCATCACTTGCTCTACAATCACTTGGTATTTCCAGTGGGGTTGGCCGGGCCGGTCATGTTGGGTCAAGGACTCGACCGGCCTGTCCCCTCGCCCCCCTCGCCCAACCCACCCCCCGTCCGCCCACCCACCCACCCACCTACATTTTCGCCTGCCCTTTCCCATGAAGCTGGAAGCCTGATCATGCATATAAACATGTATGTATATATATATATATATATGCATATTTATTTATTTATTAAAACATACAAACAAGCACAGCCTATGTATGTATGTATGTATGTATGTATGTATGTATGTATGTATGAATGTATGCATGCATGTATGTATGTAATTATGCATGTATGTATG